ATGAAAATCTAGATAATCTGTTTTAAATAAATATTAAATATCATAGAATATTTTGAATAAATGTAGGGCGCAATAAAATTGATGCAACACTTCCCCCTCTCCAGAGGTTGTCACGTCCTAGTAAATGACCTCATCCATTCTCTCATAATAAGGCTTGAATCTTGAAACATGAACTATCAATGGGTCTTGGCCAGGATTATCTTCCGGTTCAATTAAATAATTTACGTTGGACAGCTTCTTTAATATTCGATATGGGCCAAAATATTTTCTCGATAGTTTTTGACATTTTCCGATTTTCCTGACTGGTGTCCAAACTGCCACTAAATATGTTCTGGTTCATAGATTCTCTCATTATGTTTTTTGTCATGGTTTCTTTTCATTCTTTCCTGGGTTCCCTCCCAAACAACAGGGAAATGGAGAGTAGCCTGTGGTTTCTTCAATGGTGGTGTTGTACGCGTGGGTGATAAAAGGGAGAATTTCTTCCCAGTTCTTCTGGTCTGTGTTTACATACATGCTGATCATATTGATTAAAGTTCTATTTAGCAGTTCTGTTAGTCCATTAGTCTGAGGATGGTAGCTCGTCGTAAAGCAGTGTTTAACTTTGCACATTTTCATAACCTCCTTCATCAATTTGCTGATGAATTGTGAACCTCTATCGCTGATAAGAAATCTTGGGGCCCCGTGGCGTGAAATAATATGTTCAATTAAAAATGTAGAGACTTCTTTCACTGTTGCTTCTTAAATTGCCTTCGTTTCAGCATACTTGATATAATAATCCGTCAACGCAATTATCAATTTCCTTCTTCTTTTCTTTGATGGCAAGGGGCCAACAAAGTCAATTTCGATTCTTTCAAAAGGGTAGTTAGCTGGGGGAATAGGTTGCAAAAGTCCAGAAGGCGACTGATTTGAACCTTTCCGAATTTGACAAAGATGGCACGTCTTTACAAATTCGGAGACATCTTTCAGAATGGAAGGCCAATAGTATTTATTATTCAAACGGTATGTGGTTCTGACGACGCCCAGATGGCCATTCAGCATATGGTTGTGGTATTCACTCATGATTTCCTTCCTTCTCTTCTTAGGCACTACTAGTAACCATTCTCTACCTTCAGGATTTGGATTTTTCTTGTGAAGACAGCCATTTTCTTCCTCAAAGTTCTGTGTAATTGAACGCTTGTTTCAACTAAGGTTCTCCTTAATATTCTCGATAAAATCATCGTTTACGTCTATTATTTGATTCATAAATAGTCTTTCATAATCTTCTTCCCATTCGTTTTCCGGTATAGTGTCCTCTAGATAGACGATCCGCGTCCAGATGTTTTTTTTTTCGGATTTGTGTATAATTTCTAAATCATATTCCTGAATCTTCGGTGCCCATCGTGCTAATCGACCGGTTGGATCTTTCAGATTCTTAAGCCAGCATAGTGCGTGATGATCACTTACGATATTGAAGTGCCTTCCATATAGGTAGGGTCGTAACTTGGACATTGACCACACAACAGCTAAACATTCTTTTTCAGTAGTCTAATAATATTGTTCAGGTTTACTCAATGTTCGACTCAAATATGAGATCACCTTTTCTTTATCGCCGAACCTTTGGACTAATGTTGCACCCAGGCCAATGTTAGACGCGTCAGTATGAGTAAAATTAGTTGCATTCGGATCAAAGTGCCCTAAGATTGGGAGATATATCAATGCTACTTTAAGGGTTCGAAAAGCTTTTTCTTGATTTTCTGTCCAGGTAAAAGATACATTCTATTTTATAAGACTGGTTAATGGGTCAGATATTTTCGAAAAACCTTTGATAAATTTTCTATAATATGAGCACATTCCTAAAAATGATTGAACTTCTTTTATATTTTTGGGTCGAGGAAAATCTCTAATAGCCTTGATATTATGCTCCGCCGGTTTTATACCATGTTGGCTGGTTATATGGCCAAGAATCTCCAGTTCTTCGAAAGCAAATTGGCATTTTTGTTATTCAATTTTAAATTAGCCTCGCGAAAACATTCAAAACAGCTTCTATTCTTTTGAGATGTGTTGAAAAATTCGAGCTATATATGATGACGTCATCCAGATAACAGAGGCAAATTTGCCATCTAGGATTACCAAGTATATTTTCCATGTTCCTCTCAAACTTAGCAGGGGCATTGCATAGACCGAAGGGCATTAACTTGAACTCATATAGGCCATGTACTGTAGTGAAGGCTGTATTTTCATTATCTTTCTCCTCAACCTCAACTTGCCAATATCCAGATTTAAGGTATATTGCCGAAGTTTTTTGGATCCTTGAAGTGTATCCAATACTTCATCAATTCTGGGAATTGGGTAAATATCCTTCACTGTTACATCATTCAATTTTCTGTAGTCAACACAGAATCTGTACTTACCATCGCCTTTCTTAATCAATATTACGAGGAATGACCATGGACTCGAGGATGGTCTAATTATGCTGTCTCTGTGCATTTCATCAATTTGATCTTTTATGATTTCTCGCTCTTTAGCGCTCACCCTATACGGCTTGTGTTTGATCGGTTTCGCACCTTCTGTATCAATCCGATGTTTCACTAATTTGGATCTTCCTAATCCCGACGAAAACAAACCCGCGTACTTTTCCAAAACTTGTTTCAATTGCTCCTTTTCCTTAGATGATAAATTTTCGTTTATCTGAAATTGATGTTCTTCTGTATCCTTTTGTTCAATTTCTTCCATGAGATTTATTTTGGCTGGCTTCCAAAGCACAATGTTTGATTTTTTTCAAATATTTTAAATGGTCGAGGATAAGGGTTTGTTATCCAGATATATGTTTGCAACATTTATTATGCTTCTTGCTAGTCGAAGTCCATTTGAATGAAACATTTTATGGTTCTCCTCGATGATGTATTTGCCCTCCTATGCTTCTACAAATGCCTTAATCAATTTAATGGAAAGTTCTGGTATAATGGCATATTTTGCACTTTTTAATTTCTTCTGTTGATATTTGATTACGTCACGATTTCCTGTCAAGTCATATTTGATTATTACACGCTGACAATCAATTTTTGCGTTCATTTTCTTAAGAAAAATCTCGTCCAAGTATAAATATTCGCAAATGCGTTCTCATTATCACAAATTGATGGGTAACTGCTTTGTCATCAAATTTTATATTCAAAACAATATCTCCTACAATATCTAATTCTTTGCCATCGGGTCCGGAGCACATTTTATCATGGTTTATTATTTCAAGACCTGTGTTAAGAGCTGTACTAAGGTCGACCACTGAAACATCGGCGCCTGTATCAAATAAAGCTTCGCAGATACCGATTCTATCCACGTTAATGTTCATTTTATATTTGGGGTCTTACTTTTCAATTCCATTATGGTCGGCTTGCTTTGATTGACGGACTCAGGCGCGATGCTTAGTTTAAATCTTCCAACCCGGCATATCTATTCCGTGTAGGAATACTCGAGTGTGTTCTATTACTTATGACAGCGTAGAGCAGAAGTCTCGACTTCCCAGTTCCCTTATCCATTCGAATTTCTTCTTCGACCTTGTCTTGTGCAACTATGGCTTCCTCTTCCACAATTCTTACAAACCTGACTCTACAATACCGCGATACGTGTCCTGGCTTGTTACACTTGAAACATATTGGTCTCCCGTCTTCTGTCCTATTCTTGTTTGAGTCTGTACTCTTATTGTATGTTTTCCTTGGGTAGACCGGCTTTGGCTGAGGATTGGGAGAGTAAAGTCGTCTAGGGGCAGAGACCAGGGGCAGAGGCTTGTTCTGGTAGTACCTCGGAGCGGGGGCCTGGAGGTGTTCTGGTATGGTTTTCTGAACGGAGCGTTCTTCCATTGCTCTTGTTGAAGGGGACGAGGAGAGTGTGGTCCATTATATAGAGCTTTTGTTTTTTCTGCACGTTCTTGATACTTTTTTCCAAAAGAATCCATTTTCTTGCACACGACAAGAAGTTCATCGGTCGTCTTAGGAGGGTTTATGTAGATCGCGAATGCGTGTTCTTTTTCAGTCCTCCAATGACATGTTCAATTTTCGTTTCGTTTCGGGTCAACTTTGTTGCACAACACTAGAATTTCTTCCGCCAACCTGATTGCAGGTTCATTCCAGTGTTGCATTCTATTAAGCTTCATTCTTAAATTCTTTATTCGCGTCCAAAGAAAAATCCTGAATGAGGCGGATTTTAATATTTTTCTAACTCGTGGAACTAGGTTTGCGCAAATTCAACCAGGTTTTAGCACTTCCCGTTATGTTCATGGCGGCATAACGGGCAATTATGTAGACTGCCCAGTGGTAGAGGAAACCAATCTCTTCGAGGGATTCTATCCATGGGAGAGAGTCTTCTGTCCCGTCATACTTCGGAATTTCTATATTGTGGTTCAAAGCAACTGGTTCGGAATCGGCATCTCTACCAATTGTTACATAAAGTTGCAACTTTGCAGTGTCGTCGACCTTGGTTTCTTCCTTCTTGGTGTTATACACGTTTTTCGAGCGGGTTTCCATATTTAAAGCAAATAAATAAAAATAAATAAAAATAAATTACCTTTTAAAGTTATTGTGTTTATTTATTCGTCGTCTTCCTCGTTGGTCGTGATCCGCAGTCTTCCTCTCCGTCCTCTCTTGCTACAATAAGCAATCAAGATATATGTACAATAAAATATTACAAAAGGAATGATCATAATCTAAATAATCTGTTTTAAATAAATATTAAATATTATAGATTATTTTGAATAAATGTAGGGCGCATTAAAATTGATGCAACAATATATATCTCTCTATATATATATGTCAATGTCTGTCAGTCTGTTTCGCGATAAACTCAAAAACTACTGAACCAATTGGTAGCAAATTTTGCATGTCGCTTTTTATAAACCTGAGGAAAATTTTCGGCTACATTTTGATTAATATTTTTGGCTATTTCTTTTTTTTTTTCATTTGAAGAACTTTTTTTTTTACGCGGAGTAATCCGGACTGGAATGAATACCCAAATATGGCCATTTTTTATAAGCATCGGTGGTACAGTGGTAGAATGCTCGCTTGCCACGCGGGCGGCCCGGGTTCGTTCCGTCCGATACATCTTTTTTTTTTTTTACAATTTTTAAAACTCATTTATATTATATACTAGCCGAATGACCCGGGCAACGCCCGTGTTTTACCCGACTGTAGATGTTACAACGGTGATCCTTAGGTCGCTGGTTCAAATCCGGCTCGAGGGAGCCTGCGAGCACGTGACCTCCCTGTGCGCGCGCATCCGTGACAGAGGCCGATGAGGAAAGACGATCGTGACTATATATATATACACTGCGTGACATTGAAAATGGAACACCAAGAAATAGTGGCCAGAAAATTATGCAAATTTCAGGGTAGACGCGCCTAACCGAGTTATGCAAATGATGTAAAATGCGCAGCTCTCGTGCGCACATGGATTAAGATATAAGGGAAGGAATTTGCAGAAAGGACAGTATTCGTGTCGTTATTTCTTCAAGGAAAATCATTGTAGAAATTTTGTTCTTGTGTCAAAAGACACGTGTAATAAAAGAGAATGCCAGGTCATCGTAAACGGAGGCAGTTCAAGCAGACAGACGCTTTTACGAGGGGCATGGTGATCGGACTGAAAAGGGCAGGTTGGTCCATACGTCAAATCGCAGCTGATACACACCTTGGTGCGTCCACGGTGCACCGACTGTGGAGAAGATGGTTGGAACAAGGAAATGTGGCAATTTATAGGAATGCCGGTGCAACCAGAGTGACGTCAGCACGTGTGGATCGGCGTATCCTTCGACAAGCAGTGGCGGCCCCACAAGCCACTTGTACCGCCATCCTGCAACATGTGCAAGACACCCTAGATCATTCCATCTCGACCAGAACCATTTCCCGTCGATTGGTTGCTAATGGCTTGCACTCATGCCGTCCGCTAAGAAGACTGTCATTGACCCCACCGAATAGGCGCCAACGTTTGGAATGGTGCCGGGCTAGATCGACGTGGATGACGGAATGGCACAGGGTCGTGTTCTCAGATGAGTCGCGTTTCTGCTTGTCCAGTGATAGTCGCCGTGTACGCGTGTGGCGTCGACGTGGAGAAAGGTCCAATCCGGCAGCAATTGTGGAACGCCCCACCGTGCGACAACGTGGAATCATGGTTTGGGGCGCAATCGCGTATGATTCCAGATCACCTTTACTTCGTATTCAGGGCACTATGACGGCCCAACGATACGTTGATGATGTGCTGCGACCGGTGACACTCCCCTACCTTCAGGGGGTACCCAATGCCCTTTATCAGCAGGATAACGCCCGACCGCACACTGCTCGCATTAGCCAACAAGCTCTGCAAGATGTACAGATGCTTCCCTGGCCACCGTACTCTCCTGATCTCTCACCAATCGAGCACGTCTGGGACATCATTGGACGCCGTTTGCATGCCTTGCCACAGTCGCGTTCAGAAGACGAACTGTGGCAAATGGTTGAGAGGGAATGGAGAGCCATCCCTCAGGACGCCATCTGTACTCTGATTGACTCTCTACCTAGACGTGTTGCTGCGTGCATCGCCGTCCGCGGTGGTCCTACTTGCTACTAAGCCGACGCCGTTCTCGCTCTGTATTATGACTATCATTTTGAAATAAAGATCACTTATTGTTCGTCCCTGTCTCTCTCTGTCTGCCGAGTTTCATCACTTTCTGGCCACTATTTCTTGGTGTTCCATTTTCAATGTCACGCAGTGTAATATAATATATGTATGAGTACATTTTGTGTAGAAATAGGATTAGTTGACTTTATAAGGTAAACTTATTCATACAGTTTGTATCCCTCGATAGCTCAGTTGGCAGAGCGGAGGACTAGTTGTTACAAAGGTGATCCTTAGGTCGCTGGTTCAAATCCGGCTCGAGGGAGTTTTTTTTTTATATTTTTATTGGCTGCCGGCGAGCACGTGACCTCCCTGTGCGCGCGCATCCGTGACAGAGGCAGATGAGGAAAGACGGTCGTGACTATATATAGGGATAATATAAATATATATTATTATATCAACTATAATAATTTAAATCAAATACCTAAACTCTAATATAATACAATTTTTGCCATCACACACACTTTTTTCCTGTAGTTTATGTGTTACTTCTGTATTGCTATTCTATGGCACTTCTAATATTTATTATTTATGTACTTTCAGCATGAAGGAAATTGCAATCGGGGAATTCTCGGGCGAAGCCGGGTTATACGTCTAGTATATAATAAATTAGGCATATATTCTGACCAACAACATAAGCGTTTTTTAGATGGCAGAGCGCCTTCTAGTGGAACATTGGTCCTAGAGGCTTCTTGAGAAATCAAGAAATAGGAATTTAAGGCCAAACTTGCGTAAATACGCTAAATGTGTGAAAAAAATAATCGAAAAATAAAAAGGTGTCAGGTGTTGATGTTAAAAATAAATTAGACATATCCTGACAATTAAAATGAGTGTTTTTTAGATGGCAGAGCGTAAGTGGCCAGGATATACCTAAATTATTTTTAACATCAATACCTGAACTTTTTTATTTTTAAATTAGTTTTTGACATCTTTATATCTATAAAAATGAAATCCAAAATCGATGTTTGTTTTCGCGTTGCGCAAATTCTACGGAATAAATCATTATGAAATTTCGCATGTAGGTAGCTAAATATTTCGTTAACATATAGGCTATTCAAAAAACTGTAAAGGTTAATGTGCCTTTTTTTAATGTAAAACCAAAAAGCGTTAGTTCGAGCCTTTTACCGCTTGGGAGCAGCATTGGTCGCGACGAAAAATGAATTTAATTGGTTAATAATTTACACGTGGTTTATTTACACGATGAATGTTAGTTTGTTTACACGATGCATGTTTTTAAAAGGTAAGATTATCCAATCGCCGTGAAACTTTAGGAAGTTATTTACTATACTACTGGGAAGGTTTCAGGTTTGAATTTAATAAATATTCTTTGCATTTTTATTTGCAAATTTATCTACTTTCACTCGCAAGCAAGGCCTCTCGCGGTTTCTGGTGAAATTATATTTATAAATTGTAACAATTCTTAAAATGTGTTCCAAGTATAATAAATTTAATTTGATAATTTAGTAATATAATATTACAATGATGTAAAAAACTTGGCATTTTAATATTAATATATATTTAAAGAAAATATTGTAACGTTTTTGTGTTAAATGGTAAAATGTAATGTTAAAATATAGTTTTACATTGTTAATTAAATTTGTTGTTGTTTTATAATAATGAAGATGCAAATTACATTGTTGTTGTTGTTTATTATTGTTTGTTTTTAGAAAAAATTACATTGTATGTGATGATAATAACAAAAATGAATTTTTATAATCTATATTAATAAAATGCAAATTTCATAAGTGTTGTTCACTAAAAACTTTCGTTACAATGCATCAATTTCGACCAAATTTTCAACATTTATGTAAAACGAGATGGAGCAGGTTTTGCTTAACATCAAAATATTTTTCCCTAACATTAACATGCGTAACTTCGCTGTTATCGATTAAATACAAAAAAAATCAACAGAGTTAATTTTATTTATATATAAATACAAAATTAAATTTCAACAGAGTTAATTTTTTTACATACTAGCTAATAATCTCAATCTAAAAAATATTCAAAACAAGCAATTTTAAGATAACACCATATGTAAAACAGTCGGCCAAGAAAACAAATAACGTGTAATATATATATAATAAATATAATATATATAATATAACGGTATAATAACGGTATAAAGAAATAATGAGCCTATCGTTCAAATTTATAATTGTAACGAATAGTATTTTAATTAAAACATTTTTAAAACACACAGTTTGGAACGGGACGTTTCACAAGAGTGACATCCATGGCGCCAATTTATAATTGTAACGAATAGTATTTGAATTAAAACGTTTTTAAAATATATACGCACTCGGGTAACACCCGGGCGTTGCCCGGGCCATTCGTATTATATAAATATATAATAAAAAAAAATAATGTAATGAATATTATTATCATTATTATCATAATATTCCGGAAAATTATTTTCAATAATACTCGTTAGGCAAACTTTCACTCAGATAAAACCCGGGCGAAGCCGGGTACACATCCGTAATGTATATAATTCATTGAGAAAAATGAAATAATTAATTATAAAATTCACAAACGTGAACATATCTTATTTAAAATTTGATAAATGTTTTTGAAAAAATTATGTGTTTCAAAATATATTTAAACACATATAACAATATTCATATTTATATACGTTTATAAATCAATATATAGGTGAATTGGATGTTTTCTAGAATCGTTTTAACAAATATTCGTTAGGAAAAACTTTTACTAGGATAAAACCTGGGCGAAGCCGGGAACATTCGCTAAATACAGTTATTTACAAATCTTCGTTTGTGGCAAGATACTATTCCTTCAACTTCAAATTACCGAGTGGACCAATTAATGCTATTTATTTTAAACTTATCAAGTATTTTTCAAGGGACTGGGAACATTTTCGAATTATCGAGAGTATAGACACGTATAGATTCAGTATGGATTGGATGTTTGCTAGAATCGTTTTAACAAATGTCTGTTAGGCAAACGTTTACTCTGGTAAAAATCGGACGAAGCCGGGAACATATATATATGTTTGTCGGCTATGCACGCCCTCAATATGTAACTAATCTCGCTGAAATTTGAACAGGACAGAGAGTTAAATCTGGAAGAGTTTTTTGTCGCACTTTAACCAAAAAAATTATAATTAACCAAGGACTGAGCAACAATATATTTTTAGTCAGAAATGATAATGACAATATTGCTGTATCATGCTTGATTGACATAACCAAATTCTTTAGGGGAATATTCACTAAGCAGTCCACGGGCGGAGCCAGATAATTTTTAGTAGGCAGGAACAAAATTCTACCAGCGAAACATTCACTCGAGCAGAAGACAAACGAAGCCAGGTCATCTCTATATATAAAATATCGTTTCTCGGCCTTTTGGCTAAGATCATGTAGTATGTCTCTAGATATTTTTATTTATATATATGTAATATGATGCAATTGTTATTACACTATAATATTTGATGTATTAC